AACGTCCGCGCGATAATAAATCGTCCGCTGGCGCGCGCGCGCATCGCGAGAAAAGAAGTTCCGATGCAAATCGACTGACACTTCTTTTTGTTCCTATTCCCGCGCGTTCGACAGATCGGATTCTGTCAAGAGAGTTCCGATCCAATAAATAAGAACGGGACGGCACATCGCGATCTGTATAATCTTTGTCGTTTATGCGAATCGCCGTTTTGCTGACACGATCGGCGACAATCCGTTCTGACCCGGCCATTTCGCTCGCAATTGGCTAAGAACGACCCTCTTATTCTTGAAAAGATTTTAAATTACATGTCTGCTGTTAGTACCGGCCTCACTGACCCATAACTGTAATATAATAATCTGTGACTGTGGCGGAAAATAGTATAACTGGCTTTGCGAGGGTTTCGTCAAAAATCAAAACGCTGAGATTTTGTCGTTGGAACTTACGTAATAATCAATGTAAATATATAAATACGTTATAAATGTCATACCGTTATTTTTCTTATGCTAACTCACGCAAAAAAGTTTCTTGTTTTTTACTTTCTTCGTCACAGATTTGTTATGTAAGTATATTAAGAAATGATACATTAAAATGTTATTGCAAAGTTTATATCCATGTAAAACTCATCTTAAAAAACATCATACATTTATATGTCCACTCTACGTAATACACGCATGATCAATTCTTTTTATTAATTTATTACTTATTTATTACTTTCGTTTTTTCGTTTATTGCTTATTTTTTATTTATTACTTCATTATTAATTTATGCTTAATATGCAGAAGTAATAAATCAAGGTGATATAAATACAGTGCATTTCTTACTTGCTAATAATTGAAAAAAATTTTTTTGCGTGTGTCACAACTAAAAGGTTAAATGTATAATACATTTAGCGCAAAATATTATATTTTTAAATATATAAAAATATCCCAACAAAAATCACGCTTTTACGTCAATACATCACACTGTCTGACCAAAAAAAGATGCACATACGCAGGAAGAAGCAGAACTTTATCCTCGCCGATGTTTATCCCGTCTAGTCCGTCTGCGATAATTACATACATCACGTTAGAAAAAAAAGAGGTGCACGGTCGAGCAATGCGAAACCACTACGCGAAACGTCGTGTTTCTGAACATTATTGAGTTTATATACCATATTTATACACCATACACGGTCACGTTTCCTGGAATGAGGCTTAGAATATGGGCTCTATATTCCACGAGAAATTTATTCGTATCACGAACCTCCAGCACGGAGGTTGGTCCGCTCTTGACGGCGGCAGAAAAGTCGGGATGTTTACTGGAACTGGACATGTACTAGATACTACTCCGAGAGTGTCGGCCTGCCTATTCGCCATGAAAAGGCGATTGCGAGATATTCGCGGGGTATCCCGCGGGCATTCGCGCTCTTTGAGAGCGTGAGACTTACATAAATGTTCTCGCGATGCCACCAACGGGCGCGCGAGATCAACGATTATCTATGTCGCGGTAATAAAAAGGTAAGCGTTTTCAATTACGTTTCTCTACGTGACCATTCGCGGTTCCATAATCCCGATTCCGAGATGATAGACGCTGGTACATGCTCGTATTTGATATATTCGAAGCGGCCTCCGACGATTTATTTCAGACCTACGCATATTCGTCTCACGCGGCCACCTTGAAAGGCCAGTCCCCTCAGATTGCGTGATTTTTTTCGAAAAGACACGACTTCTTCGTGCATGATAGAATAGAATATATTATACCAATAGTGTATATTTTATTTAACTCCTATAGTCGAATATACATAATTCATATTATACATATTAAACTGAAGATTAAGAATTTTTGTAGATTTATGAAAAATACGAAAGCACTGTATCTAAAATCTAATAAAAAAACTTGTTAATTGTTTTAAATTACAAGTAAATAAAATTAACTTAATTCGTAATACCAATTTTATACAAAAACAATTTTATTGAAGTACTTAAAAATTTATAGATAACAATCTGAGAATAATTTTATTGGACTATCAAAATGATTATAAAACCTAAAATAATTAGAGAACTCAAAAAAAGTATGATGAATAATGCAAAAAAACATTCCACCAATTTAAAACGTCCTACATAAATAAGTATTTTGATAGTCTAATGAAATATGTAGAACGTTTCAAATTTCAGCAAAATCATTTTTTCGTTTCGAGATCAACATGCTGCTTTTAAAAAAGTAAAATCTATGTTCACAATAAAGCATAAATTATGCGTACTATATTAAAGAAATTTGTGAATAGATAAAGAATTTCTTAGAAGGAGAATAACAATCATCTTATGAACTTGTGAGCGTCAGATAGAGAAAATCCAAAAAACTAATTACCCGCAGTTTTTGCAATAAAATCTTCAAAAATCTCGATTATTATACGCAAAAATTAGAAGTAACAAAGAAGCTACTGCATAAATTAACTAAGTAAACTATCGTATAAATTTATGACAAAGTCTTGATATGCACTAAGAACTATAACGGCCGGAAGTTGTATAAAACGATGATATTGCTCGAAGAAAAAATAATGACCCACAAATTTAATGACTGTACTGAAAGTTTATTTACGAGTCCATTTACCAAGTTCAATCAAGAAATTTCGTCGCTTTCTCACGCATGCGGGATGCATCGATGTTCATTTTGAGAAAAATCACTGTGCATTCATCACCCCTCGTTCCTTTATAAAGAACCTTTATAACTTAATTCTGATTCACAGAAAAGGAATTTTGTCATGGATCATTAAGTGTCCAGAGTAATTGACAAAATAATTTACCAGAGTATACAGACCAAAGTAACCTCCAAATCCATTAGCAATTTTCTAGAGGTATTCATTATTCGCTTGAATATTACCCTTCAAATTTTATTTTAATTAATAAATTTATTAAATTTGAATTATTTACTATATTATAATATACGACTAAATTTTCATTTATCAAATTAATATATCACATATTTAAATAATTTAAAATTAATGTTTAAATATTAATTTCAGTGTATTTAGATAGATTATAAATTCATTATCATATACTAATATATAGTTATATAAATTATTATAAGTATTATATGATATTATATATTTAATTAATGTATTAATAATTTATGAAAAAAAAAATCTTTAACGATATAAGCTATATAACATAATTAATTAATTTAATCATTGTTGCAAAAGATTTAATCTATGTAAATTGTTTTGTACATAGATTCAAATGTTTAATTATGCGTAGAAAATAAAATCTTACTATTAATATATAATTTTAGAGCTACGAAGAATTCTGTATAACAAACAACAGGAGAACAAACAAGCGAACGTATTTCTCGATGGGAGAAATGTTTTGTAAAATGACCAGCATGAATATTAGGTTTAATGATTAGCTTACACGTGAATGATATAGTAGGAATGAACATAAAAAACTCATAAAATCAACGAAATTAGCATATAATCCTCATACCTATCTACACCTTCAACCACTATATAATATGATTTTTTATTTGCAAAATCTTATTATATCTCAGAAGTTTGGAAAATGATTATTAAAACGTTCTAATATAAAACAATAGCGTTGCTTAAGAAGATTGTAGGATATAGCTCAGATAATTAAACGCTCCAATAATGAACGTTCTCATAACCGGACTTAATCAGGGTAATTGGAAATAATAGTTCTTACACGCCTGTCAGATTCATTATTTGCAAGTAATAACTCTACTGATACACTTCTGACGAGGAAGTTCATCGAACGTTCAATAATCATTTTAAGAGTAAATCAAGTGCGAGATAATGCGTACCTTCATCATTTCGCGATTCATCTCTCATGCACTGAATTTCGATCTCTAAGATTTCACAATTAGAACAGCTGCATAAAATGTTGTTACTGTCGACCGAAATAAATTATGACAACTACGACAAGCAACAATTTACTTCAGCTTGACACTGTTATTATGGTGGAACATTTGCAATGATGATAAGACAGTTCACGATTAAAAAAAACTAGTGCAAAAGATTCTGTAATTTTTTTTTATAATAGTCTTATAATACTTTATAAGTAACACTTAATATAAGTTTACGGTAAATTTTGTTCATAAATTTTATTCACTTTGAATGCTATGTAAACTTTCTAGACTGTATACAATTTTTAATCAATAATATTTCGATTATTATAATAAATTCTTCTATTCACTCAAACATTTTCTTAACTAGTATTTGAAGGCCCAGTGTATCTCATGTATAAGAATGCTAATGTATATCATTTTTCGTTTTTGAGATATATTAATTTAAAAACAGCTTTTTTCCATGTAATACAAGCAGTATTGCGAGCTGTTTTCAAATAATATATCTCGAAAACAAAAAATGATATTTAAAAAAGCTAAAATACATTTTAAAACTAAAAATTGATACTTTCGGGTAATACAAACAAAAAATTTAGAAATAAAATTTGATATTACATCATAAAAACCCTTAAAATCGTCATGTTTTGCATCTGTGACTCTATTTTTCTTAAAAATAAAAACTAATAATCAAATTTAAGTAATAGATTCGTGTTCAGACAAAAATACAACGTTTTGCAATTATCTACATTCGCAATATAAAAAAAAAGATCAAATTTTATTGCCCACAGTGTAATTAGCGCCTCAAAAAAAAAAAACAGGATTGAGAAAGTTACATTACAAATTACTTATAGAATACTTTTCAGGTTACCTTATAATATTTATTTGTTATAGAAATTGAGTACAAAAAATAGTACAAAATTGGAGCAAATGATAAAATATAATTGTATGTAAAAAATATTATAAAACACCCAAACTTATTGTACTTAATTTCTATAATAAAAAATAACATATAAGTAACTTGCAAAGTAACTTTCCCAACTTTGGAAAAAAAATATTCGAGGATAACGAACCTCCGACGAAGTGCCTGTCTACATATTCTACGCTAGAAGCAGCAATCTGTGCCGGTTTAAAGTCGCGCAATAGAGAAAATTTAAAGGGCGCTTACCCCCAATGGCGGTTTAATCCATCCGGTATCATATCCAGAAAATCATGTGGCACAATCAAGAAATGAAAAAAATACAAAACTCTTCACTACCAAGCGCAATGCGGAGCGGAACTCGCGGTCTATCCGGGACCGCGTTCGCGATCCGTGTCACCGCGTATTCGCACAACTACCGTTCCCGTTGATGTCACTCCCGTTCGCGCTCGAGTACGAATAACCGCCGAAACGCGACGCCGGTCGTCGCGTCGAGTTGAAGCTTAAACTGAATATTTTCCGTTATTCCTCGGTTTCTATTTTTTTTTTTTTTTTTTTAACGGAAACATTAATTGTGCGGAAGGACGAATAGTGAACGCGGCGGGCTGAATCGAGAAGAGGAAACGAACGGAGCCAACGATGAACCGAACGGGCCGAACGTCGGCGACCAAGTGAGAGGCTAGCGGCACCGCCGCACAAGTCGCGTGACGTCACAGGGTCTCCTCTCTTTTTTGCCATTCCACGGCGAGCACCGCGCGCGAGAAAGGTGCCTCGCGGACCCCTTCTCTTCATTCGCGATGCCCTCTTAGCGAGGTGCCACTACCGAACGCGGAGGAACATACTCCTCGATGATAGCCCACGCGCTTATCGTTTCCGCCGACCAAATTCTTAGCATTCACACACAGTTACACAGTTCTCTCGATAAACCGGTAACCGTTTCCGGTACACTGAAAAAAGAGCTTGGTAATAGCTACCAAATGTTGAGTGAAATAATTTGAATCAAATATTCAGTTAATATAATAAAAAATAATTTTATTATTTTTCTACAGATATTTAGTAATTATTACTAAACGATTGGTTATATTATTATGTGTTTAGTAATATCTACTAAATGTTAACAAAAAAAAATCGAATTATTTTTTATTATATTAACAACACTTGAAATTATTTCACTCAACATTTGGTAGTTACGTATTACTAGACTCTTTTTTTTATCAGTATTTTTTTGTCTTTTTCGATCTAATGACGTTAATTCAGGACAACTCCAAGCCAATTCTCGGTCTGCACCAAAAAGAATTATTAATGTTTTATTCAGTCTTGTGAAAATAAGATAATAAAACGGTGACATACTTTGATGTCGTGATGATTAGACAAAGACGTTCATCATTATGACATGTATAACTGATTCAAGATTCCAATCTCATGTGAAAAAATTTGTCTTTTAGGAAGGTGTCATATATATCGGTAAGTTTTAAACAGTCTAACTAAATATATAAATGAATAAATACATGAAGTGTTCGGATACAGAGAGAAAATTTAGGAGTGATTCTAAATGATAAACTAAGACGGAAATCATGAATGAACAAAATTACGAATATGATTTCGTTTTTTAATCATAAATATTGATAAAAAGAATACCTAAAGCACGTGAATATGGTATTTAGACATTAATAATAATTAAAAGACAAGTTTTCACCGAAATTTTGTTATTCTTGATTTTATAATTCTGAATGTGTTTAAATGAAAGCTTAATGCACAGAAATGTTTAAACATTTATAATTAAAAAACGGAATATCAACTTCAATTTTGTTGCTTCCAATATCTATTTTATTTTATCATTTAAAATAACACCTTAAATTTTCTTTTACTTGTTGCCAAACACTTTTCATATAACAATAAACAAACAGGCCAATGAGAGTCAAAAACTGCGGTAGTTAGTGCGAGTTTAAAATTATTTATTACAATATAATTACAAAACTAATTTTTGACTATTGTCCGTTGACTTTGTATCATTTTATTCTACATGTATAATGTTATAAATTCTTTTGATGTGATTTATGTTTGTTTAATTTGCTGCATTGTTGTCCATTAATCACCAAAAAACCAACTAATTTTTTGTCTAATGGAAATGATGTGTCGCTACACCTGTGCAGCTGATTGACGACCATACTACATGAAATTTGAAGGGGTATTATTCATATCATTGAAAATGGCTCAAATAGTAGCCGAGACGTTTGATTTAGTTTTGTAATTATATTGTAATAAATAATTTTAAACTCGCACTAACTACCGCAGTTTTTGACTCTCATTGGCCTGTTTGTTTATTGTTATTGACATTCTCGAGAGTTCTATTTTTGATTTAAATTTTTTTTTTTTTACTTTTCATATATACGTATATCTTGTTAGAATAAGGAATAAGTGAATTTTTACGAGGAGGTATTTACACAAGAGGTTTATAATCACTGATAATCAGCTCTAAATAAATTGAATTTCTAGTAAATGGAAACAATAGCTCCAGTTAACGTTCAAAAATTCTTCCTCCTACAAAAATGCAGGCTTCCATTCGTCGAACTATGTAATGACTGTCGAACTCTTTCTAATTAAAAAAATATACGAACAATTACTTATTAGAGCCACTGAGAACGGCATAACCTTAGAAGTTCTTAATTTTTAAATGGTGAGACTTCTATGAATATATGATCAGGCTCTCCTCCTAAAGCCTGTTCTACAATAGTGTCGCAACCCATAAACCATAAAAAATTAACAAATTATAGTCGATTATTTTTTTCATATTCAACCAATGATTGACCAATTTCATACGACTTACGACTTGCGACTCTGTTATAGAACAGACATAAATTGAATCATAAATACTTTTATTACGTAAAAATTTTTTGGAAACAGTCGCTCGCATTATTTGGAAACCTGTGTCTAGCTAGGAAATCAACATATCAGGTAACATAGTAGAAGTTAAAAATGACATATCATAAAATTGATATGACAAACTGTATCTAAAAGAAAAATTCGACCGAAATGAATTTTTCTGACGGCAGATTCAAACTTAGCGTCCTAAAATATATTTTTAAAAAGTCATTTCCTTTCCTTGCAAAAAAAATTATTCAAAATTCATGAATTAGTATCATTCATGTATAGATATAAGAGATACGCTCCAAATTCTTTCGTAAAATTTATATGCAGTTCCCGTCTCGATCGATTGATCGCGACACCCGTTACATGGGATCGTTCGCGCGCGTTCTTTCGACGAGGGGGGCACAAAGCGAAAAGTGAACACTTTCACGCGGAGGCCGAGTTAGTAAATATCATGGCCATATTTTCTAGCCGCTCGTCTCATTCGCTCGTACACGGCAACGGACATAGCTCCTCCTGTTCACTTGCACGTCATTACGCGTTCTCGCCTCCTTACTTATTCGTTTTCCCCCTCGCCGCAATGCGAGACAGACATGGCCCTTCGTTGCTTTTCCCCATCCCTCTTCCCCGGATTATAATCACCGTGCACAGATGCCTCGGCATTTCTACACCTTGATTATCCTTTATTACGACAGCGTTTGCGCGCGACATATGTGCTCGGGCTTCGTTAACGTACTGTCGCGAATTACGAGAGGGATTTAATCATTCTGCCAAAACGATCGTAATAACACAATTTAAGTACGGGATTAAGAATCATTTATATTCAGCGGTCTTCTTTACACTCACAATCAGGATCACGCATGGGAAAAATCTAAATCTTCCTGAGATCTGATCATGGAAAACGAAGGCTCAACTAGTAACGGACACGTTTCTTAGAAACGTTTTCCATTTTTTAATTAACTTGTAATTTAGACTTCTCATTTAACTTGATGATAATGTAAAAATTGTGATTTTTCTCTAGCTGTGATTAATGACTAGACTGATGATTTTGTTGTGATAACTTTAAAAGTTACTCACTACAAAATCATTTGTGATAAACCATAGAGAAAACAAAACAAAATTTTTACACTATCATCGGAGTAAGTTTAATCACAACTTAATTAGGAAATAAAAAATCTCGGATAGATTGGTTCAAACTACGCTTGAAATATTACAAGTACATATAATTTAATATAGGAGTGTGCATTTTTTTGTTCATATCTATTTGTTTAAATGAACGAAGAAGACCAAATTGAGTTAAAATAGATCTTGGATATCTAACTATATTTTTATTTGAATTCTACAATTTCCCGTTCAAATAAACTGCTCATCAAATCTTAAAACACAATCCTAAGCTAAAACAGCATGTTAGTGAACATTGTACACAGTTTAAAACACATTGTAAAGGATTTATTATGAAAAATATCACATCAGCCGAATTATTTTTGTATTGTGTTAGAAAACACAAGTACAAATAGTCACAAAATATAAGTAATTAGCTGACTTTAAAACTTGCGAAACCTAATACTTGTTAATTTTATTATCAAAAGTTAATGAGAGACGAAATGTACGTGGCAAAGAAATCTTAATCTATGTATGAATACGTTTTTCCACCCTGCATTACTTCACCACACAGATGATTAGCTTCGATAAGATCTTCCGTGTACCGCCTATCAATCGGATTAAGAATTTCCTGAAATTTTCATTGTCCTGTCGGGGATTTCCGTGAAGTCTAATCGCGAGCGGCAAAGCTATCGCAAAGTGCGGAAGCGAGGCAGGTTTTACGATCAAGACTTTTTCTACGACTTTACAGCTCAGCGGCATTGGCGAGTCTTAGTCAGTGGACTTGAAAAGAAAAGAAAGAGGAGAAAGATCGGTAGAAGAAAAAAGAGATGAAAGAAGAGGCGCACATATCTGCTCATGAAGAACGACAGGATGACCCCTTCTCAAGTACGTCGTCAATTGCTTGGATGTTCAGGATACGCTATGTTCTTAGGCAGGTGATGCAAAAGGACGAAAACATTATCTCCTCGATCAATCCTAGATTGCAGAAAAAAGCATCTCCTTTAATTTCCATCGCCGATCGTAGTTTCGATCGTTATACTATAAATATACTGGGTATCTCTCATTATAGGTAATAATGATAAAAAAATTCTATCGAAAATACAGAGTATATTTTGATTGTAACAAGCCGATGAATGACTGTTAAATTCATAATGTCAATTAATTATACTCAATTTTAATTATTTTTAGTCATTTCTGTATATAAGACCACAATCTTACTCATAATCAATATACATTAATTTAAATAAAACAAGATAGAATTAAACTATGTAACTAATAAAAATGTATTAAATTTTACTCAAATTTAGTTTATTATTTACTAAGTGCATATGTTATTATAATATATATATATATATTATAATAACATAGATTTTATTAAAATAAACAACGTTCATATATATATATATATATATATATATATATGAACGTTGTTTATTTTAATAAAATCTTATAATCACAAAGTGGATTGATCTACATTTTGACATATATGGAAGTTAAAAATAATAAAATATATTATTTAACTCAAGGAATTAGGTTACCATTGTTTCTTTAATGTTTAATAATACAATATATACCTAAAGAATATACATATAATAAATGTAAATAAAGAATATATAATCGCATATGAGATCAACCTAATTGAGGAAAGTGATAAAATATTCTAAAAAATATTGTTTCGTTTCTAAA